CGCACGCTATATTGTTTACCATTGCCTGTTTACCCTAATGTGATAACCCACTGATAATACACTCGCACGCTATATTGTTTACCATTGCCTGTTTACCCTAATGTGATAACCCACTGATAATACACTCGCACGCTATATTGTTTACCATTGCCTGTTTACCCTAATGTGATAACCCACTGATAATACACTCGCACGCTATATTGTTTACCATTGCCTGTTTTGTCTATATGCTTGTGTCTTTATTCTCACATGGGTACGAGTACTGCAATTAGTGTGGCACTTTTTTTTTTCTAGTAGCTTCAGGTGTGCCTTGGGGAAGGAGGAGGGAGTTTGGGAAATACTGCTCTTAAACTATGACTACCCCTTCTGGGAAATTAGATCAGATTTCTTAACAATTCCAGAGATAGAGCCACCTATAATTTTCCCTGTCAGACAGCCATTTTTGAAGTTGTAAGGTGAAACCCAACATTACGTTGCACTCGAGAATGCTTTTAGGCTTAGGATCTAGACAAATAAATAAAAACGATTTGTGATGCTATTTAACAGCGTATTCCAAAAAATTACAGGAAAACAAAATCACTCTGTGTTATACAAATGTATTCTGTTATCTAATCATATATATATATATATTTACACATAGTATATACACATGTGTATGATTTTTATTAGCGTCAACGTAGTTTTTCATAAATGAACGATTTAGACTCGTGAAATAAGTTTCGTAACTTGTGTATCATATCTTACTCCTTTGCCTGGCATGGTCGTATGGTTAGGGGGCGCTTAACTCGCAATCTGAGGGTTGCGGGTTCGAATCCCCGTCCCACCAAACATATTCACCTTTTCAGCCTTGGGGGCGTTATAATGTTACGGCCAATCCCACTATTCGTTGGTAAAAGAGTAGCCCAAGAGTTGGCGGTGGGTGGTGATAACTAGCTGCCTTCCCTCTAGTCTTACACTACTAAATTAGGGACGGCTAGCGCAGAAAGCTCTCGTGTAGCTTTGCGCGAAATTCAAAAAAAAAAAATACCATACTAAATGTAAACAAAATTGAATACCGATAATAATAATAACACAAAATATTTTAAATGGATCATTATTCAATGCTACGACACAAACTAGAAACGTTCAATGAAAATGGTTTAATTTAAATATTTAAGAAAACAACTAAGAGCTGCATGACAAACAATTATGAAGTAACAATTCAGCAAGTTGAAATACCTTTATTGAATCTTCAGCTAAAAAACAACAACAAAAAACTTTCACCATTAAAAAAGTTCATTGTGCAACCAGATAAATATAGTTCTTGGTGTTTGTAATATCACACGGAGAGTAAACGTGAAACCTAATGGTGTTTGTAATATCATTTATCACCCGGAGAGTAAACGTGAAACCTAATGGTGTTTGTAATATCACACGGAGAGTAAACGTGAAACCTAATGGTGTTTGTAATATCATTTATCACCCGGAGAGTAAACGTGAAACCTAATGGTGTTTGTAATATCATTTATCACCCGGAGAGTAAACGTGAAACCTAATGGTGTTTGTAATATCATTTATCACCCGGAGAGTAAACGTGAAACCTAATGGTGTTTGTAATATCATTTATCACCCGGAGAGTAAACGTGAAACCTAAATTCAAAGAAATTGTGTAATGTGTTATTTCCCAGTTAGCTTTTTTCCGCGATTATTTCATAGTCCGAGGCCAATAGTGCATGTGGTGGGAATTTCTATGAGTAGTTAAAGTTGCCAAATTTACGTCATCAAGCCCCCCAGTGGCACAGCGATATGTCTGTGGACTTACAACGCTAGAAACCGGGGTTTCGATACCCGTGGTGGGCAGAGCACAGATAGCCCATTGTGTAGCTTTGTGCTTAATTACAAAACAAACAAACAAACAATACGTCATCAAATGGTTTGGTTCATGCTCAGTGGAAGATTGCACACATCATATTACACATACTGGTGCGTGCCCAATGTGGAAATAAACATACACTACAAATACGCTGTATCTAAAATATGAAATCACACAATTTGAAGACAATTACGTAGAAAAAAATATTTTACGCATAAAAAAAAGAGCAAAAAATTAGTAACTGACGCATTATTATTTTCAAATTTGTATCACGACAATAGATATTTAGCAGTACGTACTTCAAAAGAGCGCCAATAGAGGGCAGCAGGTATAACGAATAATTTCTGATCGGTAGCCAACTTTTTCTAATCGTAACTGTAAAATAACTTATGAATATAATTCTGTGTAATAAACTGATAAAAAAAATCTTAACTTAATAGACAATGAAATTAACAGCTATAATTACTAAAGTTCATGGAAT